GGGACAGATTGGGGGCAGAACAGGTGATTGACTGAAAAACACTGCTGAGGGGAGCAGCGGGTGAGTCAGTAGAGGTCTGCTGCGCCATGTGGGTCACCTCCCTTGTTGGGGATCAAACTCATGCTGCAGAAGCTGTGGATAGCTTCATAAGTCGCGTCTTAACCTCTTGTGCCACCAGGGAGGCCCTCTCCCCATTTTCAATTAAAGAAACCAAGGCACAGAGAAGCTGAGTATCTTGCCCAAGACCACCTAGCTGGAAGGTGGTGAAGCTTAGGTTGGAGCCAAGTCTGAGGAGTCTGGTTCTGGAGCCCTGCCATCAGCCAGCACCCAGCGTGTCACAAAGGACATTGTCTGAGCCAGTTTTGTAGTGTTGTCATCCCTTTCAAGGCAGTGCTGCTGCCTTGCTCCCCTGATCCTCTTTATCTGTTACCAAAGCACCAAGGACAAGCTTGATCTTGTGTGTGTGTTCATGTACGTGCACGTGAGTGTGTGTGTGTGTGCGTCTGTGTGTCTGAATGTGAGTGAAGTCCCAATTTTAATGCAAATGAGTACAGAGCTGAAGCCTCCAGCAGAGCAGTGCTTTTCCTGCCCCCACAAGCCAGGAGCAATTATCAGTATCTTTCAGCAGAGCCACAGGCAGCCTTCAGTGCCATCTGCAGCTTCTTATTACAGATGAAGAGTCCCTGCAAATGGGCTGAGCTTCTCAGCACACAGGAGGAGCCTCGCCGTCCACGCCTCCTTGCCTGCCTTCCACACATGGGGAGGATGGTCAGAGTTGAGATCTAGGGGTCACAGGGTTAGCCAAGCCAGACATTCACCGACTTGATCCTGACTCTTTACAAACATCATTTCTATATGTCACAGCCATCCCTTAAGAGGGGAGCTTTTATTTCCATTTTCCACATGGGGAAACTGAGGCTCCAATAAGGTATGGTCCATTAATGGAAACCTGAAGGTCTGGTTTGATTTGTTATGAACAGGGAAAGCTGGTGTTTGTTAAGGAGAGAAATAAAGTGGTTTTTGTCACAAAATCAAAGCACTATGGTCCCCAGAGTAGGAGCAATAGGGGAATGTGGGTTTGTAAGAGTGGAGAGGAAATTTCCCCCAACCCTACAGGTTCTTCTAGAGCTGATAGAATAATTAAAGCAACATCAGATAGATTAGTAAGAGAAAAAAGCAGAAACTTAATTATACATGTATGGAGAATTTACATGGTTGGAATATTGAAAAGTGACATGGTTGTAAATTCTAGAGTAAATAGGAGAGACTGACAGCTTTTATCTTTGAACTAAAGAATGGGATAGGACCTGGGACTTCAAAGAGAGAGGAGGGGACTCATGTGAAGAGGAGAGGGTGGTTCATAAAAACCAGATGCGTTGGGGACCTCCCTGGTGATGCAAAGGGTTAAGACGCAGTACTATGAAACTATCCTCAGCCTCTGCAGCACGAGTTCAATCCCCAGCCAGGGAGCTACCCACATGGTGCAGCAGACCTCTCCTGTCTCTCCCGCTGCTCCCCTCAGCAGTGTATTTCAGTCAGTCTGCCTGTTCTGTTTCCCACTCTGTCTCTGGTGAATCCTTTCACCCCCTACACCTCTGGTCTGTACCCTAGTTCTTGTATGCATAAATAAATAAATCTTTTTAAAAATATTTAAAAAAACAGGTGCTCTATAATTAATTTGTCTGGCCACATAAACAGGTGTCTTTGATAAAAAGGTTATTTTTTTTTTAAAGATAGCCCTAAATCTAGGTCAAACCCTCAATCTTTATCCTTCTAGGTAGTTAAGGTAATGGTCACAGTTTCTCTTGAAGCCTGCAGGGGCTCAGTTGATATTTGTTTGAAATATTCCACACGCCAAGGTGATATGTCTTGGAAAACCTGTTCTGAACATCTTGGGAAGCCTATCTGGACATTTCAGGCAAACCTATCCTTTTGCGTCAACTCAGGTTGTGGCTGTGGACATAGAGCAGCTGCCTGTCTTCCCCGAGTCAGAGTAGGCCCTTTAACATGCAGGGCCCTCAGCCCCCCAGACACACACCCCCACCCCATTCCTGGGAAAAGCCACTTCCAATCTGCTTCCTTCTTGGGCTTCAATCCCTTTTACCCATTAATTTCCCTATATAGTCCATTGACAATTGGCCTGTGCTTTCACCAGGAGGAATAAACACCTTGCAATTTATAAATCAGTCCATCAACAATTGCCTGCAGAAGAAACAATGTAAGCAAAGACTGAGAGGCAGGGGCTGGAGAAGGAAGGAGCCCTTCAATACAAGGGTAATGTTTAAAGAAACAGACACTGGCTAAGGTCCTCCCCAAGCCCCAGTGTGCCAAAGGGGCTGCCTGTCTTCAGTCATTAACTTCTGTGTCACACTTAGAACAAACGATTCTCTCCCTACTGAGCACACCATGTGCCTGGCATTCTCAATCACTCCCATGACTCCTAGCCAGCACTGCCATGAGTGAGTCTCTCAGCTTGCAAAGTGGCAGCACCAGGATTCAGCTTGTTGTGACCATGGGCTCCCAATGCTACCTTGGCTTCTTTGTGGGTAGTGGCTGAATTTCATCGCAATTCATAGGAAGAAACAGGTCTGGCATCTTCCTCGTCGCTTTGTCCCTTGGGGTGCACAGCTCACTGCCCCAGAAGAGCTGGGAGACTCTACACCCTGGTTCTCTAGCCCTCTGGCTTCTGGATTGGCTCCACCAATGGGAAGCTCCATCCAACAGAACTTGGGAGAAGAGGAAATTTGGAATATCTTCTCCCCAAGCTTCCTACCCACTTGGTCTCAGCAGACAGGCTGTCCCTCTGCTAAAGGCTCACTGATCCTCTCAAGGGTGCCTTTCCTATGTGACTTCCCCAGTGAATTTCTGGAAAGAACTCTCTCCCGTGGTGCTTTTGCCCAAGGGTTGGTAACTGCCCTGGATCTCGCTTGGATGGTTTGGTAAATAGAATAATCTGAGAAGGCTTTCACAGTCTAACTTAGCTGTGCCTTCTGCTTGCTCTGGGGACCCTGACCAGCACAGTGGCCCGTAACTACACACACCCCTGAAATAACAGCTTTAAGAAAACACATGTTTTTCCATGGCCTACCCTGCTTTACCAAATAATTAGCGTTTATTTCATGACCCTCATTTAAAACACCATTTTAGACCCTTCCCATGGCGGGGTCCAGTGTGATCATCCAGTTTCTTTGGAAAAAGAACCTGAGATTAAGAAAAGAAGCACTTGTTCACGGACAGCTTACTCCAGGTAAAGTCTAGACCAAAAGCCAGACCAGGGGGGGCCTGATCTTGCTCATGGCTCTCAGGCCTGCTCCCTTTCTGGGGGGACACTGACTTCCTCAGGCCCTCTTCTTACTCAAGAACTGACTAAAAGATGGTGTCATTCTTACTGGTCTTTTTCGGTCTTCTCCAAGGGCTGCCACTTTCTCACTCAGGAGTGACGCCGCCAGGTTTATAGAGGCCTGGCTAGTCAGAGCTGGAAGGGGCCTGAGCAATCGTTCAGTCCAATGCTCTCATTTCACAGGTGAGAAAGCATGTCACCAGAAATATGACACGCCCCTAAATCAGCAAGGACCTGAGTCATAGCACAGCGACAGAGGCAAATACCAGGGTGTGTGCCTGGTGCATGTGCAACTGTGCACACCCCAAAAATCAGGAGGTTCCGAGTCATAGCTCCTCCTCCCCCACCAGGGGAATCAGTCATGAGGAACTGTGCAAGGAGGGAGGCCCAAGGATTCCCCTGATCAGAAAGGGCTCAGTTCCCACCTGAGAATCAGCATTGCCAATGGATCAGGATGGGAGAGGGTAGGATGGGGTGAAGAGAAGGGCCCCAAATGGGGCCCTCATGCTCTTAGTGGCTAAGTCTCCTCTTACAGCCCTGGTGCTTATGGCCTCCAAAGTGGGGGGTACTTTAACCCTATGACTGGCAGGGGGACAGAAAATCATGATTTTCATTTATATATTTGTTTTTAATGAGTGTTTCCTATTAGTTAATAACCTGGCTCTCAGATTTTATATTTACTTTGGGGGTGAGAGTTAAAAGGTATTTATGCATGGGATGCAAATCCAAAATGGCTCTTGGCCACTACTGAGGAATGAGGGAGTGTGGTCTGTAGCAGAATCCCCAGGGGAGTTTGATTCAGGGGCTCCAAGGTCAAACCTGCTGGAGCAGAGTATCTGGGGCAGGGCCAGGAATCTGCATGTGAAACAGAATAAACAAGGTGTGTCTGCTCTGACTCCTGCTAACAGTCACTGATGGTCACTGGGCTTGGCCTGTGGCTGTGGTGGAGTTTGCTCAGCCCACAATGTCCCACCTGTTTCCACCCCCAGAGCTGTGTCTCCCAGAGGGAGGGTCTTGGCAGCCATGTCTGCCATACTAGGTGCCTGGCCAAGGGGGAGCTGGAGTTCAAGTCCTCTGGGATCTGGACCCTGACATGAAAGCTTCAGCTGCCTCAAAGAGGAGGCATCTTCTTTCTAGTTTCCCAGAGCAACCCAGGGGCTGGCTGTGTTTCAGGGCTTCTCTAGGCCTGCCTGTTGGGGGAGCCAGACCAGACTGTGGTCTTAGAACCAGGACAGGCAGGGAAGAGGGAAAGTAGACTGAGACACTCCCAAACTTCCTTAGGGTTAGAAAAACACCCAGAGGGTGGCAAGTACAAAGTCATAAAGGACTCATAGCAGGAAAGAGAGAAGGGGGAAAGAGAGGAAGGAGAAAGCCTGATAGAAAAGGAGCTTGATAGATGGGAGGGAGTAAGAACAGGCAGAAACTGAAAAAGAAAACTAGACAAGCAGACACCACTCTGGAGAGATGGGAAGAGTGAGGAGTGGGCAGAGGCTTGTAGCATGCCTGCCCTAGGCAAAGCAGGGGGAGGGTCGGAGGGAGGGGATCTGGCCAACTTGGGGGAAATATTCTATCTCCTTCCCCACCCCAACACTCCCCAGTTGTATATTTCTTTACACTGGCCCCCAAATGGCTGCAGTCAGAAGAGGAAGGCTGTACATACCAGCATGCTCAGGAGTTCTGGAACTTTTCCTGGCATAGGCTTAAAGGACTTTCTACTGTCAATGCTTTTCCATTGGCCTCTGGAGCTCATTTACATTCATGTTTTACCATCTAAGCCATAAACCAGCAAATTACCTGTTGGGTTGTTTTACCTGGGAAGCTTACTGCTGATGACATATCCCCCGGTGATACACACGGATTGGAATTCTCCAGGGTGATTACTATTATTGCATCATCAGGAGTTTATCTCAGGAGCGTATGGGTTTTGTTGATTTTAAAACCAAGCCCTGGAGACTGTGCCATGGGGGAAGACGTTTAGCCTGATGAAAGGGATTGGTGAGCCTGCTGTCTTTTCCCACAGGTCAGGCTGGAGCTTATTTAACAGGCAAAAGTGAAAAGTGCAAGAGGGACATTTGCTGGTTTAATTGGCCATAGATTTTTCTGGCAATAATTTACAAGATATGGAACTTCTTCAAGGTCTGGTGTTTGGGCCCAGTAGCGTGAGGAAAAGGACTCGGGAAATTCTGGGTGACTGGCTCTTTAAATGAGTATGCTGACTTGTATAGGCTCCATCCATCAGCTGATGAATGTCTCCTGTTTAACTGATGGTTCCTGCCCAGCCGACCTAGCTCTTAGCCTGGACTAGTCTTACATGGATGAAAGCAAAGATGGAGGACTGACTGAGGTCTGGAGGGTCAAAGGAACTATATCCAGACAGCCTGGGCATGAACTCCACCCCAAGGTCAATCATTCACTGAGCCTCACCACAGTGAGGCCACTGAGAGACTGAACAGACCACCGCCATGGGAAGCTGGGTGGGCGGGGTAACAATCCCTGCTGGACACGTCCAGGCTGGGCTCCCGCCTCACCTACAACCCACTCCCAGACTAGGGCAGAAACCAGCTATTCCCCAGATTTGACCCAAAGCTGATTTTATAGCATGAACAGGGGCCCTACCTAAAGCCACTTCCTTGTTACAGAGGAAGAAGTTGAGGTGACAATGACACCCAAAACTCTAGACTCCATTTGACCTGAGTGTCCTCCATTTCCGCCCTTTTTATATTCAGCATCACCTTGACACAGTGTGATCCTCCATATCCACATGGAGAGCAATATGAAACTAGGGAAACAGACACCACTTCGGAGAGATGGGAAGAAAACATTTTTCCCCCAGGGTTTCGCACAGGACTTGACACTCAGCAAGTGTTGGAATGAATAAGTGAATGAGTGAGTGAATGAATGAGTGAATGTATGGTGGTGATGATTGAACCAGTGACTTGCCCAAGGATATACACTTGGTGGTGGCAGCTCCTGGATACTCAGGACCAACACTGGCTCAGTGCTCCTTATGTCCTTCTATGCTGTCCACCAAAGGGTAGAGCAGAGGGGCTGACTACCCAGGCATCTGGTCTCCCAGATTGCTGGAATTTGGGTCCTGGTTATTTTCTAACTTTGAGGTAGTCTCTGGAGAGGAAATTTTTTCCTTCAAGAGGAAATTTGCTCTTGGGTGGCAAGGAGGCCAGTTAGTTCGCAACCTCCAGTGAGAACACCTTCAGAGTCCACCTTGTTGAGTGAAGACAAAGTTTCAATAATAGACAACTATTTATTAGCTAATAAAGTGAGGGTTCATACCCAGGAAGTAGTCTGATGCATTTTACTCTTTGAGAGATGTTCCAACAATCACACACTTTAGTTTAGCTTATGTAGATAGGAACAGTGAGTCACTGATGTCAAAAATGTAATTATTCTTGATGGGAATGAGGCAGGTAAGTGTGGGGTTTCTGCTTTTCTGCGAGCTTAGATCTTTTGATTCCCTAAGTTATCTTGACCTAAAGGAATGTTGATGCTATCTTTGAATAGAGAAAAGCAAATATTGGGGTTTAATCACTTTCCTGATTTCTGAAAAATGCATTGTGTAGATGCAAACTCTAGGAAGCCATTACTTAAATCATCTTTATCTGGCTCCTTGGTCTATATTGGGCAATTAAAAGTAGGTTTATCTGCAGGTAGCAGATTCCTGCAAGGCTGCTTCACAAACAGGAAGAAAAAGGTGAAATGGAGAAAACCCTTGGGAAAGGGGAATGACCTGGTTGGTGGGTCCTTAACACACACACTTAAGAATGCAGGACCACAAGCCCAAAACAGAAACATGGAAGGAAAAAAAAAAGAGTTTATTCACATAGGAAGTTAGGAAAAGGAAGAGTGGAAAAAAGGATAAATTACTGGCTGACGCAGGGCCAGATGTCGCCTTTCTTACCCGAGATTGTATCCACTGAGCAGAGATCAGGGTTCAAGCTGAAGCTTCACATGGCAAGATGGCAGCTGTCCAAGATTAAAGTTCAAATAGACCTGCACTGTGAGAAGTGTGGCCATCCAGCCAGCAGAGACCAGAGGACAAGCAGGATTGGAGTTACACATGTACCTAAGATCAGCTGGCCACTTGAGGCCCCAGACTGCCTGTCTGCTCTGTCTCTTAAAGTCCACATGGTGGTTCTGCCCCACCCCTAGCTCCTAGCGGGCTCCATTCAGGTAGCAACAGGGTGGAATCTGGAAGGTTAGGACCCCCAACTCTGGTGCTTTCTAGCACAGAGCATCATCCTCAGGGTGGGAGTCAGACACATGGGAGCATGAAGTACATGCGAGGGTCCATGTGGTCCAAGGGGCTACCACCCAGCCTGGGAGCAGAGACATAGTGGTCCAGTGGACAGGCACAGACAGCAGATTTGATACTGAGTGGTTGTCAGTGGGAGCAGGAAGCTGCAGAGCCAGGCTGTCACAGCAAGGGACAGAGGCCTCTGCAGTCCCATCAGACTGGCTGGGAGGCTGCTCCTCTAACAAGCCAGTTCTGGTTTAAAAGCCTATGAGAATGCTTTAATCTCTTGCCTGACAGGCCAGGGAGAGGGTTTCCCCAGACATCTATAGTATATTCATATCTTAGCTCTGGAACCCAAGCCAGTATCTCCAAACCAGCCTCAGCCTATGAGCAAGTATTAGGGTAAGGGTACAAGAGACTGGCCATTGTATAGTCTGCCCCAGAGGTCCCCACTATGCTGGCTGGGACTGCCATGGTGCAGGTGGTCTTAAGCTCTCCTTGCTTCTTCTCCTGTCCCAGGTTCCATTCTCTACATTTGTTCTGAAGACCTTCTTTGCCCAATCCCATTTGCCTACACTTTTATATTTTTTCATAGGCATTATTCCAATAAACCCCAATAAATCTTAGATCTACTGCCCAATTGATGCAAGCTGTGTGTCCTGGCACATGTTATTTAAGCTCTCCAGCCTTCATTTCTTGCTTATAAATTGACATTTATGGCTATACTTGCCTCACAAGGTGTTTGTGTGGAGCAATGAACCCATGGAAAGGGCTAGAACAGCACCTGGCACAAGTGCTGATACCTGATACCTGTTAGTCAGTATTATTCCTGGGACTCTTCTTTACCTGTGGATTTTAGTGGTGGTGCATCCTGCATCCAGATGAAGGAATCACATAAGACTACAGTCCTTCAACCAATACACAAACGCTACTGGATGCAGCCGAAGATCATAAAAAGTGCCAACTCTGGGGCCTCCCCTGGTGGCGCAGCGGTTGAGCCCTGGCCTGCGAAGCTGCCCACAGTCTCTGCAGTGCCAGTTCGATCCCCGGCCACTGGCAAGGGCCCCACATGGCACGACAGACCTTTCCTGCCACACCCGCTGTTCCCCTCAGCAGTGTATTTCGTCACTGCCTGTTCTGTGTTCTGTTCTCTGTTCTGGCTCTGGTGAATTTTCTCACCCTCCTGTGCTTTTGACTGTACCTAGTGCTTGTATAAATAAATAAATCTAAAAAAAAATAAAAATAAACTATAAAAAAAAGTGCCAACCCTGTTCCACTTACCTGGCCAGCTCTAGGACATCTAACGCAGGGGAGAGGCCTGGGGGCCAGGACTGAGCAGAATCTGTTCAGTGTCTCTCCTGGGGCATTAGATCTGGAAGATCAGGAATGTCTACCTCCTGCCCAGCCTAGAAGGCTGAGCCTGGGCCCCCATGGGTCCCCCTCAAGGCCCAGTTCTCTGTGGGAAGGTGTGAAAGAGGCAAGAGCTGTCCATGGGTCCTCCCTGAGCTCCACTCTATTCTCCTGGACACCCTGAGCACTTCTGTACCACAATCTAGGTCCTCAGTTGCTCTGAGTGACACTTGCAACTAAGACATTGTCTCATGAAAGGACCAGAGAGTTTGAACCCCAGCTTGGCATGGCAGCAAGCCAGGCCCTCTGCCTGGGAGGAGGCAATAAGAGGCTGGGATCAGTTTCTGCCTGGGCAAGGAAAGGTCTGGGGTGAACAACGCCTGATTTTCCTTCTGGCTCTGACATTTGGGTCAGGGGTCTTCAAACTCTCTCTCTAAAGGTCTATATTTTTCTCTAAGGGAAATATTTTATATTTTGCATGTCATAAGGTCTCCATTGCAACTACTGAACTCTGCTTCTGTAACAAGAAAGTCATAGCTAATATGCAAAAAAAAAAAAAAAAAGAATGTGACTGTGTTCCAATAAAACCATCTACAAAAACATGTCCTTTGGTCCAAGTGCTATCATTTGCTCCCTCTTGTGTAATAAATATGGTGACACAGTCCATGGGTAACAGGTTTTCACTGGGTGAATGGACATTCTTTGGCTACTTTCCCAAAATGCTGACAGTGACTCTCTAACCCAACAGCACCCAGACTTGACTTTGAGACATTCTGTTCCTTCTCTGTATGTGAAAGAACACAGTGGACTTTTTTTTTTTAATTTTTATTTATTTTTTCATAGAACTGTGGTGTAGGCCAGATGTATGGAGGATGAGAGGGTTCACCAGAGACAGAGTGGAGAGCAGAACGGGAGGATCGACTGAAATACACTGCTCAGGGGAGCAGCTGGCAAGACAGGAGAAGTCTGCTGTGACATGTGGGTCACCTCCCTGGCCAGGGATTGAACTCAGGCCACAGATTTGATAGCACTGAGACTTAATCCCTAGGCCACCAGGGAGGCCCCCTGGGCACAGTGGATTTTAAGTTGGACCCTAGGGTAGGCTCTGAAGGGATTGAGTAAGTCAAATATCCTATCACTGGACAATGTGATATATGGGGGGAAGGAAGAGAATGAATGCACAACTCAATTTACATCAATGAGTTGTGATATATTTGCTGGGG